CGATTTTTTCGGAAACAGTTTTTCTGCAATTACTTTTGACCCAAGCCTTGTACGAGCTTACTGTTACCGGCATCGTGTTCCTCTCGTCAAGACGCATCGAATGAACTATAACTTGACCTTGAAAGGTCAACTTGAAAATTTGACCTCAGGTCAAGGTCATGACCTGACCGGAAAGGGTCATGTTGCATATCAGTCGATCCGTATAGTCGAGCTGAACACATATAAGGCGTTTTCATCGCTCTAGCATGCCTCTATCAAAAGTTATTTGCGAAAAACTGTTAGATACCATTCGTGACCTAAGATGACCTCAGGGCACAAACAAGGGTCACAGACACCATTTTCATGTTCAGTGTGTCTAAACCACTTGTAATTCAGTGTTTGGGAGTGTTTATAATGTCTTTCGTCCAAAAGAGGCGTATTTCAATTTTCTCCCATTGACTTATAATGGGGAGGTCGCAAAATTGACCTGACCTTAGGTCATCGATATCAAAATTCTGAGATATACATTTTGTACATGCTATTGCCCTTAGCAATCGCTGAAAGTTTCAAAGCGATCGGTCACTCGGTGTAGCTATGACAGACATTGAAACTTTTTATGAGGTGAGGTCACTTCAAGTGACCTGGTGACCTGACCTTGAATGACCTTGGTCTAAAATTTTCACAACATGTGTAGAATTGATGTATGATAAGGTGTACCTATTTGAGATATTCGCGAAAAACCACAAGGGGGGGTGTTCAAACCCCCCCCCCCCCCAGCAGGGCGCGGGTCAACGAGCGTGGGGTCCTCCGTTTTGAAGATTCTGATCAGCGCCGATGGTAATAATTCACCGTGCGTAATGCGTATCTCGACTTATTCACGACCGATTCACACCGGACAAACAACGATCGATACCAAATCTGGGGGGGGGAACTGGGGGGGGGGGCGGGAGTAGAGTGGCAAGTTTTCCTACCCGGCGAACCCGGTACCAAACAAGTACCAAGTACCTTTGCAGGTACCAAGTCAGTACCAAGTTCTTTTTGCATGTTCCAGATACCAAGCAAGTACCAAGTACTTTTGCCAATACCAAGCAAGTACCAAGTACTTTTGCAAATACCAAGCAAGTACCAAGTACTTTTGCAAGTACCAAGCATGTTTGCAAGTACCAAGCAAGTATCAAGTACTTTTGCAAGTACCAAGCAAGTACCAAGTACTTTTGCAAGTCGAACAGGTTTTTTGCGATTATCTCAGCTTCTAGAAAGCCGATCGACACGGGACAAACACCATTCGATCACAAAGTTTATGCCATATCATTTCATAACCTTTTGCGCCGCGAAGCAAGCCAGGATCCCCTAGTTTAATTATCCATTTTTTAATTATCCATTTGAGTAGGATTTCGGGTTTTTTGAAGCGCTGAGTTTTTGCAGCGAGCTTTTTCTCTTAGGGCTTGCGAGATATCTGCGTGCAGACATATCTCCTCAGCATTGCGCGCCACACAGGAATGCGGCTGATTCACGTGCGATTGTGAGTGAGGTACCCTCAGTTTGAAGATTCGGCTGTAGAATATGTAGTTTTAAATACGTAGTTTGACGTAGATCTCGGAAAAGTGAGATACGGCCAGAAATGAGTGTGGGTACCTCCGTCCTGAAGATTCTGATCGGCGCCGATTGAAATAATTCGCCGTGCATATCTCGGCTTATTGACGACCGATTGACACGGGACAAACACCGATCGATACCAAATGGCTCTGGGGGGGGGGGATAGAGTGGCAAGTTTTCCTACCCGACGAACCCGGAATTATCCCGAGGGGGTAGGGGTGGGAGTAGAGTCGGGGGAACGGGGGGGGGGCGAGTAGAGTGGCAAGCTTTCCTACCCGACAAGTACCAAGCAAGTACCAAGTACTTTCGCAAGTACCTAGTACTTTTACAAGTACCAAGCAAGTACCAAGTACTTATGCAAATACCAAGCAAGTACCAAGTACTTTGGCAAATACCGAGTACTTATGCAAATACCAAGCAAGTACCAAGTACTTTGGCAAATATTGAGTAGTTTGGCAAGTACCAAGCAAGTACCAAGTACTTTTGCAAGTTCAGCAAGTTTTTCGCCAGTATCGAAGCTTCTAGACGTCCGATCGTCACCGGAAAAACACCATTCGATCCCAAATTTTCTCCCGAATCTTTTTATGGCCAAAGCGACGCGGAGCGAGCCAAGATATCTTGTTTAAATATCCATTTGAGTAGGATTTGGCGTTATTTGAGTTGGTCAGTTTTTGCAGCGAGCTTTTTCTGTTAGGGCCTGCGAGATATCTGCGTGCAGACATATCTCTTCAGCATTGCGCGCCACACAGGAATGCGGCTGATTCACGTGCGATTGTGAGTGAGGTACCCTCAGTTTGAAGATTCGGCTGTAGAATATGTAGTTTTAAATACGTAGTTTGACGTAGATCTCGGAAAAGTGAGATACGGCCAGAAATGAGTGTGGGTACCTCCGTCCTGAAGATTCTGATCGGCGCCGATTGAAATAATTCGCCGTGCATATCTCGGCTTATTGACGACCGATCGACACGGGACAAACACCGATCGATACCAAATGGCTCTGGGGGGGGGGGGATAGAGTGGCAAGTTTTCCTACCCGACGAACCCGGAATTATCCCGAGGGGGTAGTACCAAGTACTTTGGCAAGTACCGAGTACTTTGGCAAGTACCAAGCAAGTACCAAGTACTTTTGCAAGTTCAGCAAGTTTTTCGCCAATATCGAAGCTTCTAGACGTCCGATCGTCACCGGAAAGACACCATTCGATCCCAAATTTTCTCCTTAATCATTTTATGGCCAACGCGACGCGTAGCGAGCCAAGATATCTTGTTTAATTATTCATTTGAGTAGGATTTCGGGTTTTTTCAAGTGCTCAGTTTTTGCAGCGAGCTTTTTCTCTTAGGGCTTGCGAGATATCTGCGTGCACACATATCTCTTCAACATTGCGCGCCTAACAGGAATGCGGCTGAATCACGTGCGATTGTGAGTGAGGTACCCCCAGTTGGAAGATTCGGCTGTAGAATATGTGCTGCCGGCAGTCGGCCGGGGCCGCCGCAAATGCCCAGTCGGGGAAGGTGCTGCCACCTACGCAGTCGGCCGGCCAGAGCCGCGGTGCGCGGTAGTTCAAACGGCGGCCGCCAGAGCGATACCGCCATGCGCGTCGCGTCTAACCTGACGAATCTACAAATAGTTAGATAACTTTAATAAGAGGGACGGTAAAGCCACAATTCCAACGCTGAATGTTGGGCAAAGGCAAAGGGATCCAACACAGCCATCTGTATTTACTGTATTTACCCTTTTCAGTCAGCAATAAGCCCCAGCAATCGCACCGCTGTAAAACTCGCAAGCTGTTCACCGTGCAGGGTATTCCATTATAACCATCCACCGGCTCGCATAGTGCAGGTATAACCGCAAGGTAGGTAGGACGCGAAAAGCAAGAGGGGTATAAGTTATAGGTAGGTAGGTGATACGCATTTCAAATAGGCAGGGAACTTAGCTCAAATTGCAAGCTAATCATTGCTAATTCAACGAACACTAAATTATTGATCGTCGTCTGATTTAAACGTCAGAAAATAACAAGTTTTTCGCGGTTTTAGGCAAGTAAATGCCAAGTATTTTAGAACAAGTTCTTTGCGGTATTTAGGCAAGTAAGTACCAAGTACTTTGGCAGGTTTTCAGTACCTACATTAGCAAGTTTTCAGTACATTACCAAGTAGCAGTTGATACAGCAAGCTGGCAGGTACTCTGGCAAGTTCAACAAGTTTTTCGTGAATATCTAAGCTTCTAGACGTCCGATCAACACGGGACGAACACCAATCGGTCCCAAATTTTCTCCTTAATCATTTTATGGCCAACGCGACGCGTAGCGAGCCAAGATATCTTGTCTAATTACTATTTGTGTAGGATTTCGGGTTTTTGAAGCCGTCAGTTTTTTTAAGCGAGCTTTTTCTCTTGGGGCTTGCGAGATAGGACGTGACAGACGCATTCACTTAGCATTAGCGTTACAGACGCCTTACGGCACGAGGAGAATCGTCTGGGGCACTTCCGATCCCGGAGATTCGGCTATACAGCATCCTACCAAGTCCTACCAGACACCAGGTGAGTGGAAACGAGTGTGGCTGAAATAAAGCCAAATGACCGTGTCACATGTGTTTGGAAAATCAACTACGATTATTTAAAATAGTTTGCGACGCTCAGAAAGACAAAATAAATTTCGATTCCATCTCCCCTCTCCTAGGATAACGAATATACCAACGGTGGTATATACTAGCTAGCGTAAATAAACGACACGAAATACAAATATTTTGTGGTACAAAACTTTTTTATTCTCATCGAGTAGTACATTCAATCGATTCTGTAAAGAAAATTTATTGAAAAACATCATGCTTTTTTATTTAGAAAATACCTACCAAGTGGCGCTCGACCAATCAGATCCGGCCGCTGCCGAAGCGGCGTCAGCCATTGCGGCGGGTCGTTCCATAGATAATAGCGAAATAAATACTTTCCACGATTAAAGAGACGTTGAGTATAGTTTAAAACATTCCTCTAATTAAATTATCAAGTTTAAACTACTGGGCCAGGCCGATTTCTTCAGGAAAGTAAGCATTTCGATGTGATGGAGGCAGTGCACGGCCGGCCACCATTCTCTCAGTTGCTCTCGGCCGGCGAATCCAGCGTAAGGTACGCGATTTTGCAAATTCGCAAATAAATGGAAAATCAAGTGCAAGTGTCCTGAAAAGTAATCGACGACGTAAAGGTGAGTGTTGTGAATGCTATGGGATAGTTTTCGTAAGAATCGGTTCGTTGAAATTGACAGAAATTCGTTGGTAAGACTGCGCTGTTCATAGATATACAGACTAGACAGGGCAGCTGTTTAGCGACGGCATGCAGAGGGCGCCGCCATTTTGGGGCAGCCCTCGGCGGGGCGGCTCTGTGTAAGTGAACGGGAAAATGGGAAAGTTTACGGCACATTTTTTTTGGTATTTTTTAGGGTGAAAAGTGTTTGTCTCTGGAGTTCAGCTCATAGATTGAAGCTTGGAGAATGTCAAATGGAGGTTGAATTGTGCTCAACTAGTTTTGATTTAGATATATGAAGATAGAAAGGAGGGAGTGTTACCCGGATGGCGCCATTGTCTGACAGGTATGCTGCTTTGCATTTCAGGGTATTTAAGGGGTTAATAGTACATCTTTTTGGATAAACATTATGTGGAAGTACAGTAGTATCTCATACCTTTATTTTCTTCCTTATTTACTATATAAACAACAAAAGATCTGGGCATTGAAAAGTGTAGTTTGTGATACAAAATGCTGGTGCTAAAATGAGTTTTATTGTAGGCCTATGGTAGGTTAAATCATAGCAATTTGTCAAATATATCCTCATTTCATATTTAAAAACACTTCAGCTTTTGAAAAGTTACTGTGCGCCAGACTGCAAAGCGCGTCAACACAGTCAGCAAGCCGCACAAGCTGGGGCGACATGTCTGCTTCAGTCCTCTGAAAATCTGCAACAGATATCAGCTGCACTGACTAGCAAGACCTACATTTTTACCACAAGCTTCTATATCTTCACTGTTGACAGGAAATGCTGCAATATAACCCTCGCATGTGTGCGGCGTTTGCCAGCTTCTAATGTGTAGGGGGGGGGGGGGTCGGTTGGACCCCCCCTTGCCGTTTGGCCCCTGATCGAGCTAGAGCTTCGCGGAAAAAACGAGCGTGTTGCCCGTGACGAGAGGAAGCCGATGATACCCAATTTTAAGGTCCTAGGTCATTGGTTGACCTTCCAGGTCAGGTCAGTGACCCAAAGTCGGGAAAATCGGGACCTGTTAGAAAGTCGTAAAGTGTGGCTGCTAAGGGGTTTTTCGGGGTGCTGATCACGAATATCGTGTTAGTTTTGATCACAGATGATGTCTTTAAGCATTTAGACCAGGTCAGGTCAGGTCAACCAGTAGGCGTCGTGACGGGTATTCGTAGTACGTGTCAACCGCCTCTGACAGCTTCGTAACATGTTACGAAGGCACCAAAACTACTTCCTAAATGTTCAAATGGTTGCTAAATTCGAATTCAGCTCCAAAAACTAGCCTAGAAACATGTACAGCTCGAAAAAGTGAACCGAGGTCACCCGAGGTCACCAAAGGTCAATGACCTGACCTGACCTTCAGGTGACCTTGACACCCACCCTAATGCATGGAAGCAACATCAAATCACATGTTTGAACGTTTGAAACCACGAAAAGCTTGCAAACGCGCGGCTAATGCGAGCCGATATACGCAGAATCGCGATTCCGGCCAAACATGGTCTCGGAAAAGGGGTCACAGGTCAAAGGTCATTTGGGTCAGGGTCATGAAATTTTCAGGGTAGGTGTAAAATTGATCAATGTGAGGGTACTGAAAGTTTCGTCGCGATCGGCCGCTTTTTACGCGAGTTATTCGCGAAAAACCATGGGGGGGGGGTCCATCCGACCCCCCCCTACACATGCGAGGGTTAAGACTTGAAATCATGCTGACTTGCAGTCAGAGTCAGTGACTGCATTATGTCTCTGACGACTGACTATCTGTTCACCATTTTCTTGGAGTAGATATGATATGCCAGAGCAGCAGATATGCATTGTATAATGTTATGGCCAGCAATGCTCAACAAAAAAAATGTTTACCTTTCTGCTGCAAATTTAACCCTCGCCGGCCGGGTGCCGCCCCCCCCCATAGGGTTTTTTCGCGATAGCTCCGAACACGCTGGCGATAGAGAGCTGAAACTTGGCATACCTGACCTTTGATCCAAGCCGAATCTTTTGACACCAACCGCATTTTTGAGTCAGGTCAGGTCACTGACCTATGACGTCATAAGTGAACCTCTGCACGGTCTTAAGATGTCGCAACTTCGCAACGCCCTCACTGCCAGAGGAGATGTCACAGGGAAATGAAACTTGCAGGATCTAGTATCCATTATGAGTCCCACAACTTGTATATCTCGGATTTTTCCTAAAGGTCATATGAGGTCAGGTCATTTTCGTGACCTCACCATTATAAGTCAATGGGGAAAAATGAAAACTGCTATTCTGGCGCCGGGAACGATCTCCAACTATCTCAAGCACACAGAATCGTGATTTGATGCACTCCTTGCAGGGTTAGATGCGTCACTTTTGCAATGTTGACCTTGCGTGACGTCATTTATGACGTCATCAAGGTCATATTAGTTTTTCGTCAATAACTCTTGATCAAATTGAGCTAGCGAGTCGGGAAAGCCACCAATGGACTCAGGAAGACCTTCCGAATCGAATGATATGCGACATGACCTCTTTCGACCAACTTCGTGACCTGGGGGTGCTGACCTGACCTTGACCTGAGGTCAACACCCCAAGTTGACCTGACCCGGACAAAAAGTATATCATTCGACGCGCCTGAGCAAGACGAACACGATGCTGCCAAAATCGGCGCTCTGCGGCCGTTTTTTGCGAAGTTATTCACCAAAAACTGAACCGTACCTTGGGACACTTGACCTGACTTCAGAGGTCACCGGTTGACCTAGGACCTTAAAATCGGGTACCAATCTCTGCGTCTCGTAACGGCGCACACGCTCGTTTTTTTGCGACGCGCTAGCTCCACCAGGGGCGAAACGGCGAGGGGGGGGGGGGGTCGTACCCGCCCCCCCCCCCCCCCCTCGGCCGGCGCGTATGTAGAAAACCAATAGGTCCGGCGAGGGTTAAGCCACCCTAGCCGTTTTCACGACGGAACTTTCGCAGAGGAACCTATTTGATACCTGAAAAGTACCTACTCTTTGAGGCCTTAACATCCCTCAAACTGAAATATTTTATGTTCAAAATAATTTTAGAAGTTTAAATCCGGGCATTCTTTGCCCTCAAATCACTTATTTATTTACAAACACAGCAATTTTCGGTTCTAGTAGCCCACCTTTCGACTATGAGGTATCAAATCAGCGTGGCAACTTGCTCCCTCTTTGCTCCCTAGGGTATCTAATTCCGGAATTCTTAAAAACAAGGAAAGTATATATCGAGTTCTCTTTTATACCTATTCAGTTATGTTTTAATGGTGATTAAAATATGGCAAATTTTTTAATTACATTTCATATAAGAAAACACGCAAAACAATGAAACAAAAATAACTACGGCAGATAATTACCTTCAGGTATCTAATTCCGACCAATCAGCAACTCAGTAGGATATGACGTCATACAAGAATGGTGGTGAAGACCGTTTGCAGTCCCGGCCGCGAGTTACCTAAGTGTGGAACTACCCAGCGCCGAGCCGGCCGGATGACGTCACACCACGGCCAGTGCCGGCGCAGCGGCAGACTGGCCGAGATTGGCATGGTCTTAACTTGGCGAAGAGGCATCGAACGCCAAACTTCTGCTGCAGCTATAAATCACATTTCATGTGTTCCATCCATGTGTATGAGCTATTAAGTCCTTCGAATTCCTAATGTGTAAGTGAGCGTACCTGCATTTAGCAGTGTGTGCTATGCTATGTGGATTGAAAACTGGGGGCACATCCGACACACTGCGCAATGGATTCCGTTATTGCTTGGCTGATTCTGGCTTTGTGTCTTCGCACGAACCATTGAAAGGGAGGACGTCATTTTTAAAGGTTGTCAGGTGCACTCAAACGTTTTAATAAGCAACTGCTGATTGAATTTCTGGCGACGTTAGGCGGCACGGGTGGACATCGATAGCAGCGCCTCTATCGGTCACTAGGGAAAGCTGGGCTGTAGGCGACGAAATACCGGCTGAGTTGTCACACGTTGAATAGGTTTATAGATATCCGTCTTAAGAAAAAGTTGAACTTTTGCCTTCAATATTTCTACAGGCAATTTTAGAAGTGTCTTCACATAGGTTATAAAACCGTTTAAGATTATTGTATTCACTTCAAGCCTTCCCTATTGTTCTTCACCATGATGCGGGAACTATTTCTAATTAGTGTTTCTAGCTTAGTAAGAGAACATATTGTGCAAACGATGAAAAAAGCATCAATGGAAGATTTTAAATGCAATTTTCTCTAACAATTAATGGTAAATTCTCTACATATCAAGGAAAAGGTGCATGCTAACTGATAATTTAAAGTTCTTGGGGCCAGTTGTTTTCTTCTTTTCTTACGTCGCCCAAATGGCCGCGAATACACTTGTGATAACGCCTATCGGAGGGGTGGTGGAACGTTCTGTTCACAAATGAGTATCTACCTACCTAGTGCCTACCTGCATTGGCAAATAACTTGGTCGCGACTCGCGGTCAATTAGGCATGATTCACAAAGTCCCTTATCTTTTATTAGAGTTACTAAGCCCAATGTGCAACATTTGCGTCTTTTCGCGTTGCATCGGGTAGCAAATGAGAAAATCTGCCTCTTCTCCACAGCCCTCAATTCAAGAAACCGTCCTTTTCCTTATCACACCATTCCATAACATAATTTTCAAACATGGGTATCCTCCCCACACAAAAAAAAACTGAAGCAGTTTCCTTCGGCTCCAATGCGCCGCTCGCCCAGGGAGACGGAAGTGTTATATTCTCGGCGGTCCAGTCTGCATTCTGCAGCACAATTAAACTTGGCGGACCCCCAGCGCACGACTGAACGATTCGTATTGTTGCGAGTGACTGTGACGACAGCAAATGAATTCACTGGTGGTTTCGGAATAATTAACAGGCGGCGCAGCCCAGTGCCTCTTACAATGAATTACAGTGGCGAATGCACTATTGCAGAGAAGAAATGGATTGAGCAGATGCCCAACCTCGCTGTATTATCAACTAAACATTAGATACGCTTTACATTTTAATCAGGCAATCATGGAAACAAACGACTTGCGAGTTGCGACCCTTCCGCCTTACATAACTCGGCAGAATGCCCCTGAGTCGGCTAAACTACACTGCATCTCTTCAAACCCTAAGTATTTTACAATTTACCACTCAGCTATGCCACAGGCTTATAATTCACTGCTAAAGTCTCAACTCCTTTTCCCCTATCATCTTTTTGGCACCGTCAATCGCCATCTGCGCTGCCCACTGTCCAGCAAATAATCAGGCCGTCTCCAGTCCTCTGGCAGGGGCTTCCAAACTCAAGCGAACTCGCCGAAGTTTCGCCATTCAATGCGCAGGATCTGTACAATTGAGTCTGAGAGCCTCTGGGTTGGCTCGGCGCGCCT